CCTCCCTCAAGAATGGTGACGAGATCTCAAAATAATGTCTTAAAGCCCAAACAAGTTTTTGATTACCTTTCTATCTCGCCCAACAAAACACTGCCACTAGCACCTCATACGTTTAAACAAGCAAACAAATATATTGAATGGCACGATGCAATGCATGCTGAATACTCAACCTTTTTGAATAATTCTTACTTGGTCTCTAGTTCCTCCAACTTTTTTACAAAATATGATAGGCTGCAAGTGGGTGTTTTGTGTAAAACACAATGCAGATGGATCAATCGAACGATATAAAGTGCGTCTAGCTACAAAGGGTTTTCACCAAAGACCTAGTATTGATTTTCATTCTACCTTCAGTCAAGTCATTAAACATACCACCATTCGTCTAATTATTTCTTTAGCAATGTCTTTCAGGCGACCCTTACGCCAACTAGATGTCAACAATGCCTTTCTCCAAGGCACCTTGCATGAAGAAGTCTATATGCAATAACCTCCCGGATTCGTTGATCCTGTTTATCCCAATTATGTCTATAAACTTCATAAATCCATTTATAGACTTCGCCAAGCTCCAAGAGCTTGGTATACAGAGCTCAAGAACTTTCTTCTTTAATGTGGTTTCAACAAAACTCACTCGGATAACTCACTGTTTGTCTAGTGTCAACACAATATCCTTGTCTTTGTTATAATGTTTGTCGATGATATTGTTGTCACTGGTTCGTCAATCAAGCATGTCGACCACACCATCAAGTTGCTGGGCAACAAGTTCTCTATCAAAGATCTTGGATCTTTGCATTTTTTTCTTGGTGTCAAAGTCATCCACATTCAGATGCTCTCTTACTTACTCAAAGCAAGTACATCGCTGAGCTATTAGATAAATTTCACATGCTGGAAGCAAATGGTGTTGCTACTCCAATGTCTACTAGTGAGCATCTAAGCATTAATGATAGAACATGTTCAGCAGATGTGAAGTTGTATAGACAGGTCGTTGGCTCTCTTCAGTATCTTAGTTTTACAAGGCCGGATATTTGCTTTACCATCAATAAGCTTGCTCAATTCCAACATGCTCCATCAATTCGACATTGGCAAGCAGCTAAGCGCTTGCTCAGATACCTCAAAGAAACACTCACCTATGGACTTCTCATAAGGCCCTCATCCACTACCATATTTCATGCTTACTCTGACGCTGGTTGGGGCGGAATGCTTGATACAAGACACTCAGTTTCAACTTATGTCATTCTTCTTGGGTCCAATCCCATCAATTTGTATTCTAAAAAGCAGCGAACAGTTGCTCGCTCATCCACTGAAGCTGAGTATCGAGCTGTTGCAGGAGCTGTAGCTGAAGTAAACTGGATTGTTAATCTCCTTAAGGAGCTGCATCTTCCACCTAAGACTCCGCCAAAAATCCTATGCGATAATGTTGGAGTCACTTATCTCAGTCATAATCTTGTCTTCCACAGTAGAATGAAGCATGTGGCCATTTATTTTCATTTCGTCCGTGATCAAGTTGAAAGGAATCAAATTGATGTTCGGCACATTAACAATGCCTCACAGCTTGCAGATGCCCTAACAAAACCTCTACCTCGACGACCTTTCTCTGACTTTGTGACCAAGATTGGCCTCCAACCAGTGGAGCCAATCTTGCGGGGGCATGATAAGGATAAGGATAAACAGAGCTAAAATTCTCATTTGAATTCAAATTGTTGGATATGTCTCCTAAACCTCTCTTCCTCGTCTACAAAACTCCTACTACCATTATACTTCTTCAGATATAAATGTACCCTTTTACATGACTGAATAATACAAGTTGGAACACCAAATCTTCACTGTTTTAGAAACTACACTATTGAATAAAGAATTTCACATAGATAGTCGATCGAATTTATTATTTATTTTTTATAGCCGATATATTTATATTATTTATTAATTATACTTGATTATATATAGATTATATACTCATCGAATATATTTTATTTAAACAGTTGGATGGACAACTATTTAGGTTAGTTTTTCTTTGATTTATATAAACAGGTACAGCAAAAAGACTGAAATTTTATGAAGTCAACTGAATGGCTGACGATAAGCAGATAATGGTAAGTTAAGCCACGAATTTGAATATCATTAATTTCTCAATTGAAGAAATGATTTCTCAATAATTATTTTAAGTCGAGTCGTATTCATTGACGATCACAATCTCCAAATGATCGTAAGGGGACAACATCATAAGAAAAAGACTTGCAAATTTATTCTAACAACGTACTATATTTTATTGGAACATATTTTAACCTAATTATTTTATTACAGACCTTTATGCATTTATTTCCCCGAAATAATTTCGCGTATGATCGCTCAACTTTAATTTATTGTATTAAAGTTACTAAGGTATTTTTTGTGACAAAAAAACACTCTAACTTCTTTAAGTATCACAAAAAATGTAATAACAACCGCTCAGTATAATAACTTTTATAATTAAAATATAGCTCCGCTTTGCTTAACTACCATAGAAAATGACTCATTTGTTCCTCCATTGACTTTCTAGTTTCTATGATATGACACTTAGAGAAAGAAAAAAAGTGAAAATGACAACAGTAAAACTTTTCCTTGTTGTAGCAAATTGTAAACAAAAAGTTTTTTTTTTTTAATGGCTCGTGCATATCACAGAAGTTTCCTTAAGCACCTCTTATATTATCATGATAAGTATAGTGGGTCGTCGTCTAATGTGTCATTAGTGGAATCAAACGGTTTTTTTCAAATATATTTTAAACATCGAATTATTATAAAAACAAGCATAGCAACCTCCCAAATTGAGAAAAAGGTGAAATCATATTTAATTCTTAATTGCTTAAGTAAGAGATTTTAAAATATATAGGTTGCGTGTGAACCAAAATAAAATAGCAAAAAGGATTGTTCGACTTGTTCAGTATTGTTTATTAGACTGATCTGACTATTTCAAATTCATATCGTATTGGCCTCATTTAAAGGGAAAACATTCTCTAACAAAAAATTTTACGTTGCACTAGCGCAATACGGCTTTTCAACCTTCTGCAGGTCCCTTCATTCCCTCCACCTTATGCGGACTTAAAAGAGATGATTGGTGTAACCCGTCTCCCGCGCGATTTGAGGCAAAATTTCGTTGGCAGGGCCCAAACCCGAACATTTGGTTATGAAAGAAGCAATCTCATCCGTTCTATCACGTCTGTTAGTGATTGAGTTCACTCTGACAGTGTATATTGAGTTCTCCCTATTTTCAAGTAATATGAACTGAGTGTGCGGTCCCTTCGGGGACATCCGATAAAAAAACTCAGTGTGTACTATTGTGCTAGAATAAAATATCCACTTGCTCCTTGAACTTGACTAAGAGGAGTAGCTTAGCTTAGTCACGTCTGAAGGAGATAGTTTTAATTTATTCCTTAATAAATTAAAGTAGAGACATTCTCTAAATAATCGTGATTTTGTTATTTGTGTTCCCTGAGCTTTTACTATTGACCAATTCCAAGTATGTATATATATATATACACACACCCCTGACCTCAATGAGAGCGGGAATTTTTCTAATAGGCCATGAACTAGATCAAAATCATTCTCAACGAGTCCATAAGAAGTGATCCTTTTTTATTTTTTTTTAAGTAAGTAAGACCCTGTCCTCTTCCCTTTCGACATCAAGATAATTGACGAAGGTAGTGCTTTGAACATTTTCGCTGACTGTGCCCAATTGGTTCTATACATATGACCAGCAATGAGAAAAATAAATACAATAGTTAAATGGCGATGGGCAATATCAGTCAGCCACAGACCCCCAGTTACAGTATCTAATCCTCCACGAAAGTAAGAAATTCCGCATATTTTGACCAATTCAAGGTGANTATATATCCTTATGTAACACTATATATCCTTCATTCTAATTTCAGTTTTATTAGTCCCTGGACATGTATAATGCACGTGTATCCCATATAATTACTATAAAATTGAAAAAATTATATCGTTTTGTACATGGATAGTAAAACATTTTGAATTATGATTGGGTTTATAAGAAAAGATTGCATGTAGAAATCATAACAATTTGAATATTTAAGCTAAGAAAAATAGAAGGAAAAGAAAAATATAAGAAATGTAAATGTTAGCTCAAAATATTATTATACTCATGTGAAGTTAAAGAGCTTAACTTTGTAGAGTGAAAAATTTAGATACATTTACCTTAATAAATTCTTTTTTCGAGATGTTTTGACTCACAATCAACTTGAGGCTTGATTATTTCTGCCCTAAATTTATTTTAGCATATAAATACCTCTTAAACTTAGTTTTTAGGGGGGTTAGACATTATTTTAGCAAGAAAAGTCGGCTGGAACAAGTGCAAGCAACGGATCACAAGAATTCTTCTTTCAATTCTTTCTAGTTTGTATATCAATATTTTCAATTATTAACATGCTTGTTGGCATGACTATGAATAGCTAAATTTCTATCTAGAGTTTGATTTAACATTTTGAAGGACGACTGCCATTATATTTGAATATAAATTTGCCATTATATTTGGAGGATGACTTTAAATTTCTCTATGCATTCAACTACATATTTATTTTAGTTGATTAAATGACCATCAATTAACTGTGCCTATTTATTATATATTACTTGAAAAAAATATATATATTTAAGTAATTGCTAAACAACGTACTCCCAACGTGTATGAGAGTACGACAAGTTTAAAGATGAATTTAGAAATAACAGAACCTTGACATAATCTTAGTAAAGAAAGTGCAACTAGATAATTCGGACATAAATTCTGTCTTTTTATTGAGAATATAATTAAATAAATAAAATTATACTTTCTCTAACCTTTCGACAAATGGCCACACATTAAATAACTTTTATCTTTTATTTCACCGTCTCCTAAAGCAGCTTCAGAACTCCCACATAAGACAGTGCGAACCAAAACATTCGCTTCACATGGTAAAACTCAGACAATTACGCATACTAATGAACCACGCCTTAGTTCAAAGTTCAAAATCGGAAAATGGAAATAAACTCATGAACTACTCTGCATCTCTAATCGCCTGCAAATCAACATTAACAACATGCACGCCGTCGATGAAAATGAACTCGGTTACTTCCTCGCCAAACATTTGGTCAAGAAAAATAGGCCAAATACAATATATTCATCAACCAATACAAACCAAGTTACTGGAAAAACTACAACATTTCGGTAAAAGCAACTGTTTGCCCGGAACTGCAATTTGCTGCTCTTTTATTCGTGTATCCGCTTATTCATCTGATAGTGAATTGTCATTTATTCATATTTAAAGCACTTGCATAGATTCAACTAGCCTTCTCCACCAGAACAAATTGATGAACTGAACCAAGCTGCTCTGCTTTTTCTTTCATCCTACGAAGTGCCAAAATAAGCTGCTCTGCCTGAAACTAAAACGAAAGGGAAAAAGAAAAAGAAACTGATCCTTGTACTTTACTGCATCCATTTTCTGACTCTTTGGGGAAACCAACTGAACAACATCCACACTGGGGGGGGGGGGGGGGGGGGGGGGGGAGGATAAGCATCTGGTATCTGCCATATGTAGGCTATTTAACTACAAGCAGATGATAATGTCAACTCCAAAAACATCATTCATTGAATGGCACCATATCTATCTCGCAAGTAGTACACTTTACCATCATGATAAGTTTGAGAAGTGGAGTTTATTGGGTCTATGAGGATTAAAAAGGAATTTCCCAGTAGGTATCGTTATTTTCAGGTGAAATCATTTCACCTTATACAGATCTCTGCTGACTGTAGCGTAAGATTCCATAAACATCAATCACACCAGGAGGGAATACAGGGTCTGTTGCCGCTCTTACAGCAACTTTAGCTACTGCAGTGACGTTCACAGGAGGAGTAAACAGTGGCCCGACAAGGGGTATTTGACTCAATGGTTTTGCACGTTGCAAAATCTGAAAATGTAACCAAGAGAAACTTTAACCAACAATATATCAACATACTAACAGAAACTATCACAATGCACAATAATTGCAAAAATTGTATGGATGAGAGTCATACAGCACAACCATTCATTGTATGGATCTGTCATGAGGTAAGGAAAGAGACTCCTGTTCCCTTTCCAAGCTAATAATTCTTTTATTACTTTATTTATTAATTTTGTGCAGAGAGGAGAACGGGGTTTGAGGGGCTTTTCATCTTTGGATAATACAGCACATGTTCAATTCAATAACCTAAGGAGTTTCATTAAGGAATGACAGCTAGACGAAACAAAAAAGTAATTACTCTTCGATGTACATTATAAAAGAAAAAATGTAACGGAAGGTGGGCGGTCCAACTTTTGTTCATCTTCCAGGATGAATAAGCAGTATATGCAGTAGTTGTGCATGAAAAGGAGTAAGAATAAGCAAAGGATACACACCATCTCTAGAGGAGAACCAACTACACCGAGGGGCAATTTCATGCTCCCGACACGACGGGTCCCATAGATAAATCCAGGCCTCAGAATTATTCCTGAAAAAAACTAGATATCACCAGATGGGTTTTTACAAACATGTGAATAAGTCTCAACACTTATCTTAAATCATCAAAACAAAAATACAATTGCAAGTAGAAATTAACTTCAAATATCACTATCTTTTGCAATACAATGAAAGTTTCCAGCTATAACAAGGAGAGTGTTCCTCTGTTCACCCATTGCACTTTTTCTCCTATGATTTGTAGAGTTGGGTCAGAATAAGCACTAAACGTGGAAAATCCTCAACATTTTTACCGGTTATTTTGAGCCTCTTAACGGGCCACCAATTCAGCAGATTCTCTTCCATTGATCTAAATGCTACTCACATCATTCCTCTTCCTTTTCCTCAACAAGACCAATACATGTTACATAAGCCATCTCTAATGCGGTGCTGTAATTCTTAAAGATATAACAAGAAATGAAACTATATGATTGGGAAGGAAAACCCCAAAAGAAGCAATTAATACTGTGTTACGTTGCTCATTAGAGTTAGCTCTCCTACCAGAAAGGGTTGGGTTGAAGTGAAGGCATAAGTTTTACGATCTGATGACAACTACTTAAGATAACTTATCCAAAAGTTTGAACAAAAATAACCATATCGCGCCTAAGGAGCAATTTTGCATGTTATGTCAGTTAGCACGTCGACCAGTTAGACAGACATAGTGAGCACACCACAAAGTAGTTAGGTAATGAATGAAAACCGGAACAGCTTACCTCCATATGGATATCTTGTTAGCAGCTCAGTTTCAGCAGCTCTCTGCATAACATATACAGACATGAGACGAAAGAACAAAAAGGTCACTTTCAGAGGTTCTCCAAATTCCATCCCCTCATTCAACCTACTTGAACAGTGAGCTCCACAATTGGGTGCTGGTTATTCCTTTTATTATGTCCTAGACACTAATATTTTATTTTTGTAACATTTGTCAGTGCAAGTCCTCCAAAGTTGTTTACATCTGAGGTACCTTAAGTCGTGAAGAATCTTCTTACCTTTGCCTTTTCTTTTTGAAGTAAAGATGGGGAGTGGAAGCAGAATTGACATAACTGGTGCTGTAGTGTTTATTAGTTTAAAAACTATGATTCCAGACAGGGGAAGACCCCTTGGGACTATCAACCAGCCCCAAGCCTCTTTCTTAGACAGGGAATGTTCAAGTAGATAGGGAAATTACCCACCGAAAGAACAAGGAAAACATCTATAATTAGTCAAATGATATCAACTACATACACCTGACCCTGAGTAGCGTATTATAATTATGGTGAACATCAAGAAATGTGTGTCCAGACTGATATATGTCTGCATTCATTAAACAGGATTAAGGAAAATATTATAACATACTACACAAAATACCTTAGGATATTTGGTATTTATTATAGAACATTTAGTTACTTTACTAGTACCGGGCATTATTGCCTAATCATATTCTACATAGTCTAAGACTCGTATATAAGGAGCCACAGTTGTAATGTCAATAATCAAGTTAATAAAAGGCTCTAATCTACTTCGACATGGTATCATAATCTCTGTGATACGGGTAGAATATCAAGTAACTTCTGCCAACTAGGGGGAGGACGTTTTTGCTTCTCTCTCCTCTTTCGCGGCTGGAATGCTTTCTTTTTCAGCAACAGGCTCCTCAAATATTTCATTGCCACCTAACAGCTATTAGATGTCACTTGATTTCTAAGAGACCCTCGGAGAGGCTATTATCAGGAACCTTCCCAGAAAACCTGGTCGAAGATCTTATCAGGAGCCTTCCTAGAAAACCTGGTCCAAGGATAGGACGAAGGTAATGGTAACATTACACGCTCCCTTACAAATAATACATATATATAAAATAGTATATACCTATGTTTACTTGAATTTCATATGCGACACTCATACCCGAGTCCACAAAACAGCCTACATGAAATTCCCACATTATGTACTCAACCCTCCCATTGCAACTGAATATAATGGGCTCACAGACCACCATTAAGAGATGTAGTTTTGAAATGTTTAAAGATGGACTAAAGAGAACAAAATAATAATAAAATCTAATGTATGTTTCTAGAAAGGAAATTTATACTACGACCTTATACAACCATGGATCCAATTTGAAAAAAGGACCTAACAATTGAAGAATACCAGATTATTCACCAAAAATTAGAAGCTTTTCAGAAGAACAAAAACAAGTTATTGACTTAAGATTCAGGATTGGCTCGATTTAGGACCCCCAATAGCTCTTGGCATGACCTCGGCAGAAATTTCTTTGGACCACAACCCCCAAAAGTGTAAGTTTGAATCACCAAGGATAACATACCACACAACGTCCTTCACTGTTCTCTAAGTAGAACTGTAAAAGGCAACATCTTCTGCATATAATTAGTAACTCGTCTACATCAATCAAACGTATTGAGCTAATACCTTCCCCTCATAATAACCTTGTAGCACGTAATTTGCAACACCAAAGTCTGCAGCAGAGATGTAAACAAATCTTTTAACTCCTGCACACAGAAATAAAACATATATTAACAACATCGCTTCCACCACTCCAGCATCAACAACATATTATACCAATACAGCAGCAAGGCCAAATTTTCCTTTCTGTTTACATAAAAATGCATATTGCAGTTCTTCAGCAAAAGTACATTTTTAGTAATTTATCCAAAATTGACGCCTAAACAAGACAATCATCATGCAGACTGAAGATGTGCAAACTGATCAAATGCTCATATAGATTAAAGAGTCGAGTGGAGATATAATTTTTTATTTGATAAGAACAACATCAAATAATTATTGGAGTATTTACCAAGTACATCTATTGTAAACATATCCCCGGAATGTGTAAGAATTCTAATGGTTAAATGATCTAAAAAAATCCCTCTGTAGTCTGTATCATTGTAGGTGGCAGTATTTCTTTATTAGTTTGTTCAAAAAAGAATGACGTTTTTCTATATTTAAAAACAAGTTAACTTTAAACATCGCCTTGCTGCAGCACCAAGTCACCCAGTGATTTCATCACAAATACTTGATTCCTCTGTTCTAGCATCCCGGACAGTGGATGTTCGGGCATCTCAAGGTATAGAGAATAGACGAGGAGGAGGTCGTTTTGGGAGATCTAGACCCAAGTGTTCTTATTGTCACAAACTTGGACACACTCGTGAAATGTGTTATTCCCTACATGGCCGTCCACCCAAAAATGGCTATGTTGCTCAGAGCGAGACTACATGTAACCATGGCTTTTCCGTATCTAAAGAAGAATATAATGAGCTCCTTCAGTATCGAGCAAGTAAGCAGACATCTCCACAAGTAGCCTCAGTTGCCCAGACTGATACTCATGTTGCTGGTAATTCTTTTGCTTGTGTTTCCCAGTCTAGTACTCTTGGACCATGGGTCATGGACTCGGGCGCTTCTGATCACATCTCTGGTAATAAATCACTTTTGTCGAATATTGTATATTCACAGTCTCTTCCTACTGTTACTTTAGCCAATGGATGTCAAACTAAGGCACAAGGAGTTGGACAAGCCAACCCATTGTCTTCTATCACCCTAGATTCCGTTCTTTATGTTCCTGGTTGTCCTTTTAGTCTTGCATCTGTTAGTCGTTTGACTCGTGCCCTCAATTGTGGTATATATTTTATTGATGATTCTTTTATTATGCAGGACCGCAGTACGGGACGGACAATTGGTACAGGTCGTGAATCAGAAGGTCTTTACTACCTTAACTCGCTTAGTCCTTCCACAACATGTCTAGTTTATCCAGTTTGTCTACCTTAGATTGTGAGTCGTGTGTTTNTAGACCCAAGTGTTCTTATTGTCACAAACTTGGACACACTCGTGAAATGTGTTATTCCCTACATGGCCGTCCACCCAAAAATGGCTATGTTGCTCAGAGCGAGACTACATGTAACCATGGCTTTTCCGTATCTAAAGAAGAATATAATGAGCTCCTTCAGTATCGAGCAAGTAAGCAGACATCTCCACAAGTAGCCTCAGTTGCCCAGACTGATACTCATGTTGCTGGTAATTCTTTTGCTTGTGTTTCCCAGTCTAGTACTCTTGGACCATGGGTCATGGACTCGGGCGCTTCTGATCACATCTCTGGTAATAAATCACTTTTGTCGAATATTGTATATTCACAGTCTCTTCCTACTGTTACTTTAGCCAATGGATGTCAAACTAAGGCACAAGGAGTTGGACAAGCCAACCCATTGTCTTCTATCACCCTAGATTCCGTTCTTTATGTTCCTGGTTGTCCTTTTAGTCTTGCATCTGTTAGTCGTTTGACTCGTGCCCTCAATTGTGGTATATATTTTATTGATGATTCTTTTATTATGCAGGACCGCAGTACGGGACGGACAATTGGTACAGGTCGTGAATCAGAAGGTCTTTACTACCTTAACTCGCTCAGTCCTTCCACAACATGTCTAGTTACAGATCCTCCAGATCTAATCCACAGACGTTTAGGACATCCGAGTTTATCCAAACTTCAAAAGATGGTGCCTAGTTTATCCAGTTTGTCTAGATTAGATTGTGAGTCGTGTCAGCTTGGGAAACATACCCGAGCTTCCTTTACGCGTAGTGTTGAGAGTCATGCAGAGTCTGTTTTCTCCTTGGTTCATTCTAATATCTAGGGTCCTAGTAGTGTCAGTTCAACCTTGAGATTTCGTTATTTTGTTAGCTTTATTGATGATTACTCAAGATGTACTTGGCTTTTCTTAATGAAAGATCATTCTGAGTTATTCTCTATATTCTAGAGTTTTTGTGCTGAAATCAAAAACCAATTTGGTGTCTTTATCAACATTTTTCGCAGTGATAATGCCTTAGAATATGTATTTTCTCAGTTTTAACAGTTTATGTCTATTCTCATGGAATTATTCATCAGACATCTTGTCCTTATACCCCTCAGCAAAATGGGGTTGCAGAAAGAAAGAATAAGCACCTTATTGAGACTGCTCACACACTTCTAATTGAGTCTCGTGTTCCGCTGCGTTTTTGGGGCGATGCAGTTCTCACAGCTTGTTATTTGATTAATAGGATGCCTTCATCTCCCATCAAGGGTCAGATTCCACATTCAATATTGTTTCCCCAGTCAGCCTTATACCCTCTTCCACCTCGGGTTTTTGGGAGCACATGTTTTGTTCATAACTTAGCCCCGGGGAAAGATAAGTTAGCTCCTCGTGCTCTCAAGTGTGTCTTCCTTGGTTATTCTCGTGTTCAGAAGGGATATCGTTGTTATTCACCTGATCTTCATAGGTACCTTATGTCAGCTGACGTCACATTTTTCGAGTCTAAACCTTTCTTCACAACTGATGTCACTTCTGCTGACCACCATGACATATCTGAGGTCTTACCTATACCGACTTTTGAGGAGTTTAGTAATCCTCCTCCACCTTCAACCACAGAGGTTTCACCCATACCAACTTTTGAGGAGTCCAGTGTTATCCCTCCTAGTTCCCCAGCCACAGGAACACCACTCTTGACTTATCATCGTCGTTCGCGCCCTACATCAGGCCCATCTGGTTCTCGTCCTGCACCTGACACGGCTCCTACTGCGGATCCTGCTCCTAGTACACCGATTGCACTTCGAAAAGGTATACGGACCACACTAAACCCTAATCCTCATTATGTTGGTTTGAGTTATCATCGTCTGTCATCTCCCCATTATGCTTTTATATCTTCATTGTCCTCAGTTTCCATCCCTAAGTCTACAGGTGAAGCGTTGTCTCATCCAGGATGACGACAGACTATGAGTGACGAGATGTCTGCTTTACATACAAGTGGTACATGGGAGCTTGTTCTTCTTCCTTCAGGCAAATCTATCGTTGTTTGTCGTTGGGTTTATACAGTCAAAGTTGGTCCCGATGGCCAGATTGATCGACTTAAGGCACGTCTTGTTGCCAAAGGATACACTCAGATATTTGGGCTAGATTACAGTGATACCTTCTCTCCAGTGGCTAAAGTGGCATCAGTTCGCCTTTTTCTATCCATGGTTGCGGTTCGTCATTGGCCCCTCTATCAGTTGCACATTAAGAATGCCTTTCTTCACGGTGATCTTGGGGATGAGGTTTATATGGAGCAACCACCTGGTTTTATTGCTCAGGGGGAGTCTTGTGGCCTTGTATGTCGCTTGCGTCGGTCACTTTATGGTCTAAAGCAGTCTCCTTGAGCCTGGTTTGGTAAGTTCAGCACGGTTATCAAGGAGTTTGGCATGACTCGTAGTGAAGCTGATCACTTTGTGTTTTATCGGCACTCTGCTTCAAGTCTATGTTGATGATATTGTTATTGCGGGCAATGATCAGGATGATATTACTAATCTGAAGCAGCATCTCTTCCAGCACTTTCAAACTAAGGATCTAGGCAGATTGAAGTACTTTCTAGGTATTGAGGTTGCTCAATCTAGCTCAGGTATTGTTATTTCTCAAAGGAAATATGTTTGACATTCTTGAGGAAACAGGGATGACAGGTTGCAGACCTGTTGACACGCCGATGGATCCGAATTCTAAACTTCTGCCTGGACAGGGGGAGCCGCTTAGCGATCCTGCAAGCTATAGGCGGCTGGTTGGTAAATTAAATTATCTCACAGTGACTAGACCCGACATTTCTTATCCTTTGAGAGTTGTAAGTCAGTTTATGAATTCTCCCTGTGATAGTCATTGGGATGCAGTTTTCCGCATTATCCGATATATAAAATCGGCTCCAGGCAAAGGATTACTATTTGAGGATCGAGGTCATGAGCAGATTGTTGGGTACTCGGATGCTGATTGGGCAGGATCACCTTCTGATAGACGTTCTACGTCTGGATATTGTGTTTTAGTAGGAGGAAATTTGGTGTCCTGAAAAAGTAAGAAACATAATGTAGTTGCTCGGTCTAGTGCAGAAGCAGAATATCGAGCAATGGCTATGGCAACATGTGAACTAGTCTGGACCAAACAATTGCTCAAGGAGTTGAAATTTGTTGAAATCAGTCGGATGGAACTTGTGTGCGATAATCAAGCTGCACTTCATATTGCATCAAATCCGGTGTTTCATGAGAGAACTAAACACATTGAGATTGATTGTCAATTCGTCAGAGAAAAGATACTTTCAGGAGATATTACTACGAAATTTGTGAGATCGAATGATCAACTTGCAGATATTTTCCCCAAGTCCCTTACTGGTCCTCGCATTGATTATATATGTAACAAGCTCGGTACATATGATTTATATGCTCCGGCTTGAGGGGGAGTGTTAGAGATAGCTATGTAATTGTCCCACATTGGAGTAGGAGTAGTATCCCCTTTGTATAGAGTAGCTATAAATAGCACCTCTTGTATTGCATTACACACAATATCAATATATATCATATTTTCTCCCATGTCTTCTCACAAGAACTTAACAAATATTTAGGCTTTCTACAAATCATTAAATATGTAGTCTACCATAATCAACTAATGTCTCAATTTTTGATGAAATAAGTGATATATCATTAACGGGCATCAAGAAGATGCAAAGATTACAAAAG